TGTATAAAATATAAAAGCCCTCTAGACCCTGGGATAGATTTCATGAATCTTTCTTTGGATTTTGAAGACATATTTGCAATTTGGGGTAAATATACAGAAGACAAAGTCAGCTCAATGGCATAGAAGCAGCAGCACTCTAGCAGCAGCTTTAAACAACTAACATATGTAATACCAGTCTTCCACATTTGAATTATAAGAAGTAGGGGGATGCCAGAGCTGCAAAAGTTAGCCCAACAGTGTGAATAAGCCATTAATGTGCTTGTCACCTGTCAGACATTTCCTAAATAAACACTTCATAATCAGTTAATATATAAACAATTTCCTGACTCTGAAAACTCACTGGGTTCAATATTAAATGGAAATATTATGTTAAGAAATCTTTTCAGAAGCAAGTATGCCTGGTGCAAGTACATTGGTAAATCAATCCCATACTATGATCTCAAGTTACAAAACAAATTAAGTATCAAATAAGTGATATATCTGGCCATGCCAATTTCAATAAAGCACGATCCACCATGATTGTTTCAGTTTTAAATACTTTAAGAATACCAATAAAGTGGAAGCATACTTGGTTTTGATATTAAATATCAAATGTCATATAGACTCAAACTCTGTTTGCAGGTTAGTCTGTTAATTTTAAAGAATAGGTAACAATAACATGTGCATGTGACAAGTTAGCAGTTAAAAAAATATTACATATGGAGTTATCCTGTATGTGTCACACTCAACACCGGGGAAAGATTAATGCACTTCATTAGTAAAACCATATCATTAACAAAAAACACTCTGGCTGATTAATTTTACTTCAGAACCTGGCTGTTTGCTCCTAGTTCAGTTGCAGGTTGAATGGGTAAAAATTAAAAGCAACTGATATAGCCTACAATCAGGTGTGCTCACAGAGATCAGCTCTTCTCAATGCATGGGAAGGACCTAGAAATTAAATATGACAGGAGTGCTCTGTATTAAGCAGTATTATTTCAGGAGAAGTGAAAAACTAGTATTTTAGATACTGAAGAATGCCACTCCCTCCTGTCTGTGGTGGGACATTGAGCCACCCAATTAAAAAATGAGGGAATGGAACATCCCCTGATATCTCAGCATCCAAGGAGGTGGAAAGATGTAAAGTGGTGCTTTCCAAGGCCATGCTACAAGGAAAAGAAATAGGCACATCCCTGATACATTTCATGTAGAATATGATGATGTTATTTCTAAGTTCCTAAAATGTGCTATATGCCTTACAAAACAAACAAAGCCACAGTTTCTGCCCTGAAGAACATGCAATCTCAATGCAACACAACAGTGTAACAAGTCTTGGCCTGCTAAACCCAGGGTTGTGAGTTCAATCCTTGAGGGGGCCACTTAGGGATCTGGGGCAAAATCAGAACTTGGTCCTGCTAGTGAAGGCAGGGGGCTGGACTCGATGACCTTTCAAGGTCTCTTCCAGTTCTAGGAGACAGGACAGGAAGTCAGGTGGACTTGAGTGGAAATTAGGCTACAATTCTGTTTGATATACAGGAAGGAATATAATTAATCTCATTCCTTTCTACCAGTTTTGGCTCCAAAAATCCAACTATCTAGTTGATCTACTGTCAACAGGATAGATAGTATTAGAATATGCAAAGAATTAATGAATATTTTCAGCTATAAAGACTTTCTTGTTCCATTTATTCACTCATGTATAATGTCTTATGTATCATCAGTGTTAACTTTTCAGTGAAGATTGGGGAATGTCTAGAAGACTCTATTATGACTAAATTTTCTATTTCCCTAGATTATTTTACTTCCTTTACACATATCATGCAATGGAGATGAATACATCAGTTAAGTACTGTAATTATTGTCACTGGAAATATTTTGCTCGTTCCATAACTCTCCTATAGAATAATCAATTTCTAGGAATCTGTAAGTGCCATGATAAGAGCTTCAACAGTACCTTCGAAATCACTTTGGCTAAAGAGAAATTTCACTAAACTAAAAGATAATTTTCTTCTCACCTATGCATGTAGGTACAGCAGCATTCCAATGTCCATCAGCTGAGCAATGTATTTCTTTAGATCCAGAAAGTTTATAGTCTTTATTACATTCAAACTGTACAACTTGGCCAAAGGAAAATTCTTGGTCTGTCTCATATACACCAGCTACAAGGATGTTTCCATTTTCTGGTGCATTTACTGGTAAACACTTGCTCACTGTAAAAATAAAGCTATAATTTAAGGCCTACTCTGTAACTATATTGTAAAACAAAATGGTCAGCATTAAAAATAAGCTAAACACTGTTGCAAAAAAAGAAATCATTCTGGGATGTATTAGCAGGAGTGTTGTAAGCAAAGACACAAGAAGTAATACTTCCTCTCTACTCCACGCTAATTAGGCCTCAACTGGAGTATTGTGTCCAGTTCTGGGTGATGTGGACAAACTGGAGAAAGTCCAGAGAAGAGCAACAAAAATTATTAGAGGTCTAGAAAACATGACCTAGGAGGGAAGATTGAAAAAAAAAATGGGTTGGTTTAGTCTGGAGAAGAGAAGACTGAGAAGGGACATGCTAACAGTTTTCAAGTATGTAAAAGTTTGTTACAAGGAGGAGGGAGGTAAATCGTTCTCTTTAACCTCTGAGGATAGGACAAGAAGCAATAAACTTAAATTACAGCAAGGGCAATTTAGGTTGAACATTGGAAAAATCTTCCTAACTGTCAGGGTAGTTAAGCATTGGAATAAATTGCCTAGGGAGGTTGTGGAATCTCCATCATTGGAGATTTTTAAGAGCAGGCTGAACAAACACCTTAAGGGATGGTCTAGATAACACTTAGTCCTGCCATGAGTGCATGGGACTGGACTCAATGACCTCTTGAGGTCCCTCCCAGTCCTATGATTTTATGATAAACATTAAAATACAGAACAATTGAAAAAATACTATAAGTAAACTACATAGTAAATGCAAAATTCAGCTTTATCACATACTCAGATACCACAGTGACTAATATGGTATAAAGTCAGACTGAGAGACACCAGAGAAAGTTGGTACATGGAGTCTCCTCACTCGGCTGTGCATTCGTCCTGGTTGCAGACAGAGTGTTCATCTAGAATTGCCTTGAGTGATAGATGGGGGCCCAATTAATGTGTCCAGTGGCACTCAGAGCCCAAGCCTTGCTAAAAGTCAACGTTAATTGCTCTTGCTTATGCCAAGACTACATCTGCTCACAGTCTAATCAGTTGGAAAACTGTAGAGAACTGCAGACTGACCAAAACATATCCATCAGTTCACAGTTATTAGCTCAAAATCCTTGATAAAGATATTGGACTACATTCATCACTGGTATAAGTGAGCACAATTTATCTTAGCAGAAAGTTTGGCCCATGCCATATCTCTAATTTCCCATAACTGCACTAACCCAAGAAAAAGAATAAATATATGTGATCAAATATTCCTTATTACAAAGGAAGCCGTTAGATGGGGCCAAATTCCACCCTTGGATGTTTGCATAGACATTAATGGGAGAGTATGTGTGTATCTGAGACCAGAGTTTTGCCTCCAGCTCTTTCTTTTCCCAACTTTCTCCAGTATATCAGTCATCTGCCCAGTCTTTGATTTTGCATCCTATTTCAGGGTTCCTCAAACAAATCTATAAAGATTTATAAATTTTTAATCATGCAGGATTAGTGCACACATTCACAGGCAGTCATGTTTTTCCTTTGGTGAGAAACCCTTAAAAATTTGGCACTAAAGAAATATAAATAATAACAATTCTTACTGGCCAAAGTCACATTCACATCATAACACAAATACTGTACGGGGGTATATGGATTCATTGTATGATGGAACACTTTCCCCACAAATATTAAAGCTTTACAGAACAAAATTAAGAAGGAGATTATCTAAGAATAACATTAAAGGACAGATTGTGACATCCTTGATCACGCCGAATGAGTAATACTACTGAAACCAATAGGACTACATGTGGAGTAAGGTAGAGCCCTGCAGCCAGACTGGGATCCTGCGGGTCCTGCAGGACACACTGCCATAATAGTGGGAAAAAGTAAAATGTATTTTTTGTGGGCGGGATTGGGTGGGCAAAAAAAAACAAAACAAAACAAAAAAAACAGACTGTGGAAATTTGGAGGAAAACACTACATTTCTTGTCAGTTTACCAAGAGTAGCCTATTTGGGAAATTGCTATATATTTTGTTTGAGCTTCTCTTTCCTATATGTGTTTATCTCCCTCCCCTCTCTTGTGGGATTTGTGGGGATCTAAGATTTTTTTTGGTTTGGAGCAGGATAAAAATGCCAGAAATAATTCAAGAGAGGGTGGGAGTGGGTACTGCAGGGCAGGACGGGAGCGGAATTTAAATAGTCCCACAGAGGGCTCTAGAGAAAGGTACTAATCAATGTGAGCAAAGATATCACAGTCAGGTCCTAAACAGTTTTTAGGCAGGCAAATATTAAATAAAAATCAGTTTGAAAAAAAGATTATGTTGTAGACTCCATTTACCTTCACAGTGCGGGAGTTCATTGCTCCATCCATCTGCCTGACACTCACGGAAATTTCTTTGGCTGAGCATCTGATAACTTACCAAAAAAATTGTAACCAAAATATAAAACTCTAAAATACAGCCGCATTATATGTTAACAGGTTATGTGATGCTATTACAGTTAAAACAATATAAATAGTTTCCCCTGTTCTAATACATAAACTAACCCAAAATATTCGCCTGGAGAAGGAAACAATACTGTCTCTACTGGGCTCCTTCTCCATTTTGTTAAACTTCCTATTGCTCACAGTAGCAAAATGTTAAGTGGCAGAAGTAAAGCTTCATTGAAGCTTCTTTATTACAGAGATCTGCTAATGCTAAACTCTGGCTCAGCCCTCTGTATAGAAGCCATTGTAATTCACTGTGGTCTCACAACATTAGGGAGAATTGCAACTTCTAAGCCCAGTTCACTGGTACCCTCAAGCACAAAGGAGGCATAAACCTGGTGAAAATGGCAGATTAAACCAAGTTTATGGATGCTTTGCATTGCCAGAGCAGTCCAAAACAGCCAGACTGTAATGGAGTATATCTTACTATATACAAGATTTTTTATTCAATTTACTAAAGCTCTTTCTAGAGAGCTATAGTTAGTCGTGAAAGCACATGATGAATGTAGTTACTGAGTCTACCACAAAGTCGTTATTTGCAAAAAAAAAACCCTCTGCAATTACTATAGAACAGGAATGATTAATGTTTGGCTTGTAGGTCGGGGCCTGATTTTCATAAGTGCTGACCTCTGAAAATCAGGCCTCTGATATGACCCACTAAGCCCCATAACAAAGCTTCATCAGTTCATTAGTTTCTGAGTCCTGGATCTCCATATTAAATATGAGATCAGCTGCAGTCAGTCTAAGCAAATTAGGTGTGGTCCTCAGGAGGACAAAGTTTGGCTGACTCTGCTACAGAAGTACATTTGAAGGTACAAGATTAAAGAGTTATGTTAAATAGTCTTATGGAAACCCAAAGTGCTTTTAATGTAATAAAGGTTTCATCATTAACCACTTCTAACTATAGAAATCTAAAAATATTAACAGAATGTAAATCTGTCAGACTTAAATAAAAAAATAGCAAAGCCATAACTAGACACCTTACTCCATTAGCTTTTACACCCCATATTGACCTGCTCTAGTGCTACCAGTATACTGAATAACAAAAAAAATTACCCTTCATCACATTTGTACTCAACGCGAGCACCAAATACAAACTCTGTTCCAGCAGTAAGTTCAAAGGAACCAAACTGAATATCTCCAGGATGGCCACAGGGCTTGTCTGGGGGGGATGGAAAAAAAAGGAAAATGTGTTTATAAACCTTCTACAGTGCTGTAAAGGGAGGTAACTTTGACTGTCAGATAGGAATTGTATTTGCTATATCGGGTGGGATTTTCAAAAGCTTTCGGAATTAGCTTAATTCTCTCCTATTAAAGTCAATGGGAGTTTTACCATTGATTTCAGTGGTAGCTGAATGATGAGCGCTTTTGAAAACTGAACCATAATGCTGGCGAATTAAATACTGGGACTATCCAAATTTTTGCTTTCTGAGTGACAAACAGCAAAGAATCTGACTCTATAAAATATTTGTTAATACTCTAAAGGCCTCTGCTCTAAAAGTGGATGCTTTGTCAGACCTACGATCAGATTCAAATACACAATGAAAAGTCCCAGTTTGTTAATATTTTTTTAAGGCACAAGGTTTATTGACCTGATATTTAAAACTTTTCCTTGCACACTTTCAAAAGGATTCTTTCAAAGAGGTAAAGGCTCTTTAGAAATGCTTCAATATGCATACATGTATATTAGGAGGAAAATAAACGCATTATTAAGTCAATCAAGTAAATTACATGTACAGCTTGTTACATAGGTGATACATGGAGACAGAACTATAATTATGCATTGGACCTTTTAACGGAGGGATATGGTAAATTCCAGCATGCTAATGAAGTTTTTTAATACCTGGTCATAAATTCCCAGATTATAGCAGTGAGGAGCTTGAGTTATATGAAAAACATTTTTCATGAAACGATACCTGGCTGAGAGATGGCACTCTGGTTCTGGAGAAGATAAATACACTCCTACAGTGACAGGCTGGGACCCCAGGTGAATGGTTACCCTTCAAACTGGAGCCCAAGGACTTCTTAAGATAGAAGGGTGTGTGACCCAGGGACCTCTTGGTGCCATCTGGCAGAGGGCATCGGTGTACATAAGGATTACAGGGATCCCCCTTGGTCTGGTATCTACCTACTAGTTTGCACAAGCGTGTCATATAAGGTCTCTACTGAAAGCTTGTGTCACAATGGTCATCATGATCACTGCAAAATGTATGTATGGATAATATGTAAGGTGTTTATACACACACACACACAGAAAATTATGTTCTTATGGCCTGTGAGTTGGAGTCAGTCACCAGAAGTTGAAAAACAAGTTTATTTCAGGCAGAAAATGTTTATCTAGCAGTCTGTAAGTAAATAGAGAATTGTATAGTCCACAATGAATGCCCATTTACAGTCTGAGCTAAATGATAATGATGGGATTATGAAATCTTCAGAGGGGGGAATTTACAGCAGGAAATCATGGATTTTTGGACTACAACTGTAGGTACAGAGACTAACTCTACATTCTTCATCTAGGATGTAAGATAACAGAGGGTTTGCTTCATGAAATAAGGATCACAGACAGACAAGTTTTTTAATCCTGGGAGAAGAACTTTGGGTGATGTAAAGATCACTAGACAGAAGAGTATCATGTTCGTTAAGTCTGGGCTCTATTATGTGTGTTATGATTCTGTTTTAGCTGTAACCCTTTGTTTCCAATATTTCAGCTTGCTATCATTTGAAACTCTGTTTTTTGTTAAATAAACTTAAAAATGCTTTCTCTATGAACAAACTTAAGTGCTGTGTGTTAAGCAGAACTGTATTCTGTGGTATAACTGGTAAGCTGTGGTCTGTTCCTTTTGGAATAGAGGATCTGGGAGTTCTGGGAGTGTCAAGTGGATTTGGCCTGGATGCTTCAGGCAGATTCTTGAAGGACTTGGGGGTTGGTGTATGCCTATCACTAACCTGAAGAGGAACAGCGCAGCCTGCATAGGCTGAGAGAAGAGTGCTCGTTCTGCCTGTGGCTAGTGGTGTCAGGAAGCTGCACCCTGATAGGCACAGTTAACGGGAGGTGGTAGTGAGGTGCCTCACAACCCTACCCCTGGGAAGCACCACAGTGGAGTAATAAGGCAGGATCTACACCCAGTTTGCTTACATACTGAGATAGTCACACGTGAGAAGGGTGAAAAATGAAGAAAAAGGTTATGGATTGCTGTTTTCTGTTTATTTCAGGTAAGGAAATAGAGTGCAGTATAAAATGAGTAGACAAGAAACATACTCCAAACTACATATGCAATAGTTGGAGCAGCAATGTGAAGCTCATGAATTAGATGAAGAGAAAATCACTGAGAAACTGAGATTTTCACTCATGGAACAAGGTAAGTTATGCATAGGTATAGCTCTCAATGAAACAGCTATGAAGTTGGAGTTGGCCATCTAGGAGGTGACAAAAGTAGAGAAGGAACCATCTGTGGGGAGCCAAAGATAAATGGGATGCAGTGGAAGCCACACAGCAGAGAGCACTGGAGCTGGAAGACAAAATTTTTGAAGCCCAAGAAGCAGAGGTCAAAGAAAAGGAGAAGAGGCAAGAAAAAGAGATGGCAGGCAGCACACTCTGAGCATACTGGACTTACAAAAGCAGATCCTTCAGCCCACGTGTAATCCTCACCAGGGATCACACAGCTGGGACAAACTGTGTGCTAGTTACAGGGAGACTGATTGCACTGAAGAATATTTAACCACCTTTGAAAGGATCTGCAGTGTACATAACTCTGTTGACTGGAGAATGACCATCTTACTCTCCAAACTGAATGGTAAAACTTTGAAGGTGTTTAATTATATGGATGTAAATAAGAGTATGAAGTATGACATTTTAAAATTGTCTGTGTCAAAAAGGTTTCAAATTGCACCAGAGGCATACCACAAAGTTTATAAACCTTTAAAAGGTTGACAAGTTAAGTCACAGGAAATATGTTCATAAAATGGTAGATTATTTGAAAAAAAAATGACAAAAAGTAAAGGGGCAGAAACTTATGACCAGTTAATAAATCTATTTGCTCAAGAACATTTCTCTGATGTCTGCTCTAAGCAGGAGAGAGCTGCAGGTGGGAGACATCTGTGGAAGCAGCCACAGAAGCAATTGACTTGTACATAGAAGAGAGATCCTTCATAGAGTGCACATCCCAAAGGGAAGGGCAAAAAGCCTATAGTAAAAGAGTGTCTTTGGTTTGTTCCTGGAAAAAAGGAGGGAGGGAATGGGATTAAGCTCACATCACCCTTTATTTCATATTTAAGAGCAGGGCCTCACTGGCTAAGTTTCTGAACCATTTACTCTAGTTCTGTAGCTATTCTGCATAATTTTTCACCTCCGATTTCTTTACTGTTTATTATTAGAATACTGTGTCCAGTTTTGGTGTTCACACTTCAAAAACGATGTTGGTAAAGAGCTCAGAAAAGAGCAACAAGAATGATTAGAGATCTGGAAAACATGCCTGACTGAGAAACTAAAGAGACTCAATCTATTTAAGTTTATCAAAGAGAAGATTAAATGAAGATTTGATTGTGGTCTACAAGTGTCTTCACTGGGACAGTGATTTCCAATAATAAACCACTTTTTAAACTAAGAGAAGAAGGCATAACAAAATCAAATGTTTGGAAGTTGAACCTAAGTACATTCAAACTAGAAATAGGCAAAAAGAGTTAAATGAGGGTAAATTAACCATTGGATCAGTTTACCTAGGACAGGGTGGATTCTTCATCACTTGCAATCTTTAAATCAATGTTATATCTTAAACAGAAATTATGGTCTTGATGCAGAAATTATTGGGTTGTGTTCTTTGGCTTGGGTTATGGAGGAAGTCATACCAGATGATCATAATGATCCCTTCTGGTCCTAGCATCTATGATTTTCTCTTAATGATCTTCATGTCAAATTAACTTTGCTACATGTAGGATATTTTGATTGGCGATGTAGACTATCTGGGAAAGAAGCATATTTGGACGACTCAGAGAAGATAACTGATTCCAGATTTAAAGGAAGGCCAAGTGAAGAGAGAAGTAGTCACTTGAGCATGTAATCAAAAGGAAAGGAATCGTGGGACCCCTTCCTAAAAGTGCTGGCCATGTTCATTCTTGGAACAAGCACTATTTAATGACCTTCAGAGAGCTAGTCTTTATTCAGACCACTTTGCTTCTTCAATGAGCTTTACAAACATAATCTCTTTTAAATGATTATATGATATCTACAACATCAGCCTTGAAAGAACATATGGTAAAATTTATGGGAAGTTTACTTTTTAATTCAAAATTACAGTAGATGTTAATCTGACATAATTATTCATAGAGCTGGTCAGGAATTTTCTGTCTGAATGACCTTCTGATGGATAATGCAGTTTCTGCAAAATTGATATTTTCTTTGGAAAAAAAATCTTGATCTTTCCAAACATTTTCGATTTTCCACTAGGAAAATTTAAATGAAATATTTCATTGTGGGTCACTTCAACCTGAATTAGAATGTTTCAATTTCTTGAATTGACCCAGAACATTTAGTTTTGAATCAGGTCAATAAAACATTAAATTGCATTTCTATGAATTCGTTATATAATGGGAGATGTAGTTGTTTGAGTCCTGCTTCTCTCCTGCAGGCCATGTTTCCTGGAGCACTACATCTCCCATAATGCAATGTGGATTTCTCTCTGATTGATAGGCATTTTGCAATATGGAGGTCACATGATTTTCAGTAGATAATAAGTGCTGTGGTCTGGTCAGGGAGCCTATATGGAAAAAATGGAGGTATCAAGGGTCCTGAACATCAATTCCCATGAGGCAATGCATCGCTTTGGTAAAATGCAATTTGAATAGAATTGATTGAAAATGTTTCATTTCAATCAAAACTGTTGAAATAAAATGTTTTCAGAACCAATTTTTTTTTAAATGTCCATTCTGTGAAATTTCACAATTTCAACTTTTCATCCTAATTTATGACAAAAACAAATGTTCAAATGTAAGAATTTCCCATAGGATGGAAATTCTGAATTTTGCTCAGTTCTAGTTATTTCTTACTATGAAGTAGCTATGTTTACCTTGAACAACTGTTAAAAAAAACTGCTTTGCTAAATCGTCTATCTGTACCTTTGGTGTCTGTATTGTAAATCATTGTAGTAATAAAAAAGATTTTTAATAGAATTTTCTTTCTCACTAAAGTTTAGGGGCCAAATCTTGGATTTATTACAAACAAAACTCCAATTGAAGTTAATGAGCATCATTGCCCAAGTGAGGACTTTGTGATGTCGCCCTAAATGTTGACCTGAAGAAAAAGGGAAAATGACTGAAAGTATTTCAGTTGAACATATGCACATTTTTCAAAGATACTTACTTCTACATTCCACGTATGGGTGGAGATGTTTCCACACACCATTTGTACACTCAAATGTCACACGACCAAGTTTTATGTACCCAGGTCGACAGTTGTAAATTGCTGAAGTACCATGTGGATAGGATGCCTTGTCCCAGGTTCCTGTAAGTATTTCCTTAGTTCTTCTAGGAGGTGGAGTTTCACAATCTAGAAATTAAGTAAATGAGAATAATAATTATTAAAATAGATGGTAAATACCCAAAAATAATGTTAACAAAAGGAAGAATGAGATTTGAGAGCGAGCAAGTACAGCTTCTTGATCGTAATCGCCACACAGAGTTGTTTAGAAAGATCATGGACAACTGAAAGGTTTCAGACTGGTAGCCGTGTTAGACTGTATCAGCAAAAACAACGAGGAGTATTTGTGGCATTTTACAGACTAAAAAATTTATTTGGGCATAAGCTTTTGTGGGCTAAAACCCACTTCATCAGGTGCATGGAGTGGAAAATACAGTAGGCAGGTATATATACACAGTACATGAAAAGATGGGAGTTGCCTTACCAAGTGGGGAGGTCAATGCTAACAAGACAATTCAATTAAAGTGGAAGTGTGCTATTCTCAACAGGAGGAAAAATCACTTTTGTAGTGGTAATGAGGCTAATGTAATCAGGGTGGCCCATTTCAAACAGTTGACAAGAAGGTGTAAGTAACAGTGGGGGGGGGGGAATTAGCATGGGGAAATTAGTTTTTGTAGTGACCCATCCACTCTCAGTCTTTATTCAGGCCTAATTTGATGGTGTCCAGTTTGCAAATTAATTCCAGTTCTGCAGTTTCTTGTTGGAGTCTGTTTTTGAAGTTTTTTTGTTGAAGAATTGCCACTTTTAAGTCTGTTATTGAGTGTCCAGGGAGATTGAAGTGTTCTCCAACTGGTTTTTGAATGTTATAATTCTTGACATCTGATTTGTGTCCGTTTATTCTTTTGCATAGAGACTGTCCGATTTGGCCAATGTACAACGTACAAACTGGACACCATCAGACTAACCTGATTTTTAATAGAATGGGAAAAACTTGGTACATATCCCTAAGCAAACCAAAATTATCAATCAAATGTGAAACAATAAATATCTAGATACTGGGGATAATTATCTTTCAATACATAAAAGGGACAGTAGATGCATAGTATGGAGAGTGGGAACAGAGATAATTGCTTTGATTTCAACATAAGCGACCCCACCTACTGTCTTCTCTCCCTCAACCACAGCTCCCCCAGGCCAGCCCTCCCACCACCAGAGGAAAAAAGGATAAAGATACCCCCAACTCCCAAGACCTCTACTTCTGCAGCTCTAATCTCCATACCTGCTACTACTTCCCATCACTGTCTGACATCAACTTCCTGCTTTCCACTGACCCAATTTTCCAAATCCCCTCCCTTAGCTTCGCCACACCTCTTCTTCTTCAATCTGAGTCCCAACCTTCCCACTCCCTCCAATACTGAGACTATTTGTGTTCACAGAGAACTGGTGAATAACTAAATTCCAGAAATCCATATCACACCCTCTTCATCCTTCAATCATTTTGTTTTCTGTCCCAGATTTTTGTCTGTCATGACACTTTTCTTCAGGTCAATCAATACGCACACATTCCCTTCCCTACAGCTTCTTACAATGCCTCCTAAGCTGTGTCCAGGAAAATAACTTCTCTACAAAGTATAACCCAGACTATGAACAATAAGGGGAAGTGGTTTGCATTTATTCCAGTATGATATTCCTGAGCACAATGAGAATGAAATAAGAAGGGCTAGAAAACCCCGGAGGCTCCAGGCAGAGCTCCCAGTGTTGCTAGCTCTTGGAATTTCATTTCAAATCTCATATTTGGTGTTGCCCTTAAAGCCTGATCTCCTGGAGTTATAGGATTACATGAGAATAGCAGTTTTCACTTTTTGTGAAGTTTCTAGCCCTCATGGTTATGGAGAAGACTGGAAAACATGAACCCTAAAGGCTCAAAAACCTAGAAGGCAAATAAAAAGTACCTCAAATTTATTATTTTTAACATCTTATGATTTGTTGAGGCCCAACTCATGATATTTGTATGCTTGGGGTCATCAGTATGGGCACATGTGGAAGTAGAAAAGAATTAGCAGATTGAGGAAACAGAGCTCACTAGGCTCTGTAGAATATATAAAAGGAAGCAAACTAAACTGCTAGGGGCTACTAGTTCTAGCTGTGCAGCCACTGTCACAAAGTCGAAAGGGACCTTCTCTGTGAGTTCTGCACTTTGCTCTATTTAGACCCTTTTTGTTTGTTTCTAACCTGCTTGTAGCCTTCTCTTCTGAGGGAACAGACATGAAGACTCAGGGTCAAATTTCAAAAGTACTGGGGAGAGTAAATCCTATTTTACAGCATTGTGGACTGTAACTACTATTGATTTCAAAGAGATATAGGATCTTAAATGCCTATGTTACTTTTGAAAATGGGACTTGGGTGTTTTGAAAATTTTACCCCTTGAATTCAGAAGCTCCTGATTGCCAGGTTCATACTCAAACCACTAGATTATTTCTCTTGCTCAAGAGTTTTTATTTACTTTTTGACTCTCTAAGTCACATGCTCTTTATCGGTACTGGCAACAAAACAATATAGAGGCTGCTACATTTAAAGATTTTAAAAAACAAGCATAAGAGGTCTGACATTCTTCAATCTCCCCCCCCCCCAAAAAAAAAATCCACAGTAAAACAAACAAAATCCTTCCCATACAATGATTCACAGAGGTTAAAACACACACACACACAAGAAAAATCTACAGTGAGGAAAAAATTGCATAGAATACATGAAAATACATGAAAATGTAAAAGGAAATTGTCCCCAATACAACCAATGACCTAACATTTCCTGTTCTCAGTGCAGATATGACTGGACCACATTCACTACTGCTCTTTCTTGTCTGCTGGATTTCTCCTCCCCTAACATTCACAGAGCTTGCCAAACAATCCCATAGTCCCAGTGTTTGAAAACAGTCACAGGCAAACTGGCTCACCACTTCTCAGGCTTCTCCATACAGCCTACTGTCATGGGTGGTACCCTACTATTGTTTCCAGATATCACTACATAAAAGGGTGTTTTAGGAGGGTGTTTAGGACACCCAAAGATCTGTGATTGTCTATAGATCAAAAGGCCTTTTGACAACCATTAACACCTTCCAGCATAACTATAACAGCAGCACCACTTTTTTTTTTTTTTTTTTTAAGGAACACGCACACAATGGAGGATTCTCAGATAAAAAGACCTGAACACAGTCTGAAAATCAGCTATAGCTAAAAAAGACTCTTTATGATGATTTGAATCACCAAGAAGAAGAAAAAACTTCTGTAGAAAAAACAAAATGCAAGCAAAATGTTCAGTCATAAGGAATTTACTCCCAGTGAGATTCATTGAGTTCAGGAAGGTTTGTGCAAGGTCCTTTGCACCACTCAAGTGGTGAGGCCACATGCAGATTGGAGGCAGCAATAGAAGGTACACCTTGAGTGCCATATAATGGGGTCTCCATGCTGCCCCTCTGTTGGACGTTGTCCTGGTGCTGACTAGAAGGGAGACACCCAATGAACAATTAAGCAAGTGGGACAATATGTCGCTGCTAGGCTGGGGTGGGAGGAGGAAGCTGCACTATGGGTTCCTGCCCTGGCAACAGCTGGGAGTGGTAGATTTTAGTTCCCCGGTGCCCCTGAACTTCTGCAGCACAAATCCTAATTACTGTCTTTATGTAGGAGATGAATTTCATTTTATTTGCACCAAAAATTCCTTTACCTCTCAATATTTATAATTCACTAATATGAATGCCTATAGCTGTGTAAGGAACACAATCTCAGAAAGTTATGCAAAACCAGGAGAACCATTTATTACAGAACAAGTCTGTAAAACTAAAGCATACAACTGTGTAAAAGTATTACTCTAGGCCCACTAGAGGGAGCTCACATGCTATCAAAAACCAGATGCTGGGACTTTCAGAGTAACTAGCAAGACCCATTAAAACTCATTTGCTTTTTTAATGCGCTAACTTTTTGCTTCCCTCCTTTTTTAAATAATATGTTGGGTTGATATCCTGATTAATCACTAGCAATTATTACATACCAACAGCTAAGTGAAATGTATTCCTCATCTTTGCTTTCTCTCAAAAAGGTATCTTTTCTTTCTTCTCGTTTCAGACCTTTGCATACAGTTCTGCTCACTTGAATGGATAAATGATAATAGTTCTATAACTAAATAGCAACATTTTGGCTGCAGGAGTGCTTGTGCAGTAGTAACATTAAAATATAAAAACCATTGGGCCCTCAGTTTTTTTCATACATCTGTAATGCATCTTTATAACACATTTGTGCACCAAGTAGTCACCTTGAAGTTCAAATAGGTGGTGAGAAGGATAGAATGTGGACTTAAGTGTTTCCATTTTTTAGTGTATAAATTCCATTAAGTAGTGAAATTTTCTCTTCGTGTCTATGAGAAATTTATTGTGCATGCTTACATCAAAGGGAAAATAGACTTGTGTCTGCTTCATTTTTTCTTTAATAAATGACACCTTTGACAATATTGTTTTTATTGACAAATTAAAATAAATCTCATTATGATCATTTCAATGGTTGCACGTGATTCTAGATTTGGTTTTCTTTATATCATTTAATTCAGAGTGTGACTTTTATGTAAGATTCTGGTGCAATTTATTTTCCCCTAGCCTTAATGAAGTGGCACATTTTAGGATTTCCTAGAAAAAACTTGGGTTGAAAGGAGACCAAGAATTTCTCAGATTTTACAGAAATTGTATATTTCAGAGAAGCTCATGGCACTTTGAGTTCTCAGAATGGGAAAGGCATAGTCAAAAGCTCTATGTTCACGAAGATTATTTTTTTCATTAAGGATAGCACTAACTTTTCTAATCTTCCCTGCCCATATCATCTGCTTTTGTAGTCTCTTTCATTAGCAACTTCAAGAACATTTAAGCAGCATTGGAGTTCAATAGAATACCAATGCACGACTGATTGTATCACGCACAGGACACTATCATATTCAAATCCCACTTCAAGCATGTTTATAAAGAAAAGGCTACATATAATGTTTTTATTACAACAAATATAAAACCCAAATTGATCTTGCTCACAATTCCATTTGCTCTCTATATACATGCTGTTGGTAGGCTTCATGGTTGGCCCCATTAACCATGA